AATCCTAAAGATATCGAACCTTGCAGACTCACATCACACACGTAACAAAAACATCAGTAGCACGGTACGATTTATATAAATGTATCCTTGCGAATGTGTATCACGTTATGAAGGCTCATAGGCGGAGTGGAAGTAAAGCTCCGTACATTTTCAATCACATTACTTAATATGGTCTAGTGGTCAGAGTTACTGGCTACAGATCCAGAGGTCCTGGGTTCGATTCCCAGCGCTACCAGATTTTCTGAGAAGTAGTGGGTGTGGAACGGGGGCCACTCAGCCTCGTGAGGATAATTGAGGAGCTTCTTGAATGGAAAAGTAGCGGCTCCGGTCTATAAAACCGAGATCAACGGCCGTGGGAATCCGTTGCGCTGAACACGCGACACCCTCTATCAGCAAAAGTTGGCACTAACTTCGCCGACAAGCGGCGTTTGCTGGGTAGGTATAGTTCGCTTGCGGACTAAAAGTAATGGGGTTTACTTTTTTTACTTGAGGAAGCTGACAGACCCGCTTCTCGCGCTTTAAACCAAAGAAAACGGCAGAGCTATCCATTACCAACATGGGAGCCGGAGTCTGAGTGTTCCGGCATAGTTAGTCCTTTTGTTTTGTCACTTAACGAGGATGTATAAAAGTCAGAGAACACGAGGCACGAGAATTGTTATGAGAGGATAATACGTAAGAATGAGAGGAACGGATGCGGTCTGTTTAATGACGTAAATGTGAGTCATGGCAGTCGCTCTACCAGTCCCTTCCTGGCACAAGCCAGAAAATATGCCGTTGTATGAATCTGCTCAGTTGTGGTAAAAAGAAAGGTAAAAGACGTATGGGGGAGCGGATGTTTAGATCCACATTTTCTTGACCTCGGCACTAGTTAGAGGTGAGTGGTCAGCTTCACCCTCCGGCCGCTTTACCCCCTGAGGAAAGAGCCCCCGGAACTCACTTGGTAGGCGGTTGGGTGGAGCCCAGAGCTGGTTTGGACAGTTTGGAGATGAGAAAATTCTTGACCTTATCGCCATTCGAACTCCGACCCCTCCGTCGTTCAGCCCGGAGCCAGTCGCTATACCAACTGCGCTACCTCGGCTCCTGCTGAGTTGTGGTAGCTCCAAGAAACATATTAATGCCTTTACCTGGGTTCGAACACTGCCTTTCACATACATATCAGCTTCTTTGCTAAGCGAAGTGTTACTGTTCATAGTGATGTTAGAAGAAGCAGTGGTGCATCTGTGAATAGGGTGCTAAGGAGAATATTTGGACCGAAGAGGGGTGAAGTGGCACGAGGTTCAAGAAAACTGCTTAGCCATAAGCTTTATATTTTGTACTTTTCGCCAAATATATTTAGAATTATCAACTTAAAGAAGTTGAGGTACGTAGGGCATGTAGCATGCTTAGGGAGGAGAGAAATGCATATAGGATATTGGTGGGAAAGTCAGAAGGAAAGAGGCCACTGGGAAGACCAAGACGTGAGGGGAGAATAACATACAAATGTATCTCAGATCTCAGAGAAACAGGATGGGGTGGTGTGGACTCGATTCATCTAGCTCAGGATAGGGACATATGAAGGGCTCGTGTGAACACGGTCATGAAGTTTTGGGTTCCATAAAATATTTGAAATATTCTTTAGCAGCTGAGTGACTGGCGGATTGCAAATAAGAACTAAGCTCCAAGGAGTTTGTTAATAGTACATCTGCTGAACAGGTATTTTCGGCAATCCTGCTGGGACATACGTGTATCAGTGCTCGCTTTCCAGCTTTCTCTCGCCAGTCTTCCTCAGTCTCTTGAAGCGAAGTTCAGAACACTGCCTTACCCCTTACGGACGTGATGGTCACCTTCTTAACCGTCCAAGTTACATGTTTTGCTCCCTGGCTGCTGTGGGTTCAACTCTAAATCACACAACCCCTTAACCTGTCTAGCGTCTGTAATTCTTTATTTCTAAAAATAGCACATGCCGGTCACGGTAGCCGAGCGGTCTAAGGCATGCAGTGTCTTCGCTCGCTCGGAAGCCGGGGTCGTGGGTTCGAATCCCACTCAGAGCATGGATGTTTAGTTTGTGTGTGTGCGTTTTTCTGTGTTTGTGTACAGGTAGAGGCCTTGCGACGAGCTGATCACCCACCCAAGGAGTCCTACCGAATGTGTAAGATCTAGAAAAACCGAAGTGAACGGGGAAGTTCATGGAGGTAGACCTAGGCCCACTGGGGCTGCAGTGCCAAGGAAAAAAAAATAGCACATAGAAGAGATGAGAAATTAATTAGAATACAAATATTAGCCGAATGGGGCCACTTGGGTGAGGGGACTCAGCTGTCTTTTTTTTTCCTTGGCACTACAGTCCCAGTGGGCCTAGGCCTACCTCCATGAACTTCTCCGTTCACTTCGGTTTTTCTAGATCTTACACATTCGGTAGGACTCCTTGGGTGGGTGATCAGCTCGTCGCAAGGCCTCTACCTGTACACAAACACAGAAAAACGCACACACAAACTAAACATCCATGCCCTGAGTGGGATTCGAACCCACGAACCTTTTTTCCAAGCGAGCGAAGACAGTACACGCCTTAGACCGCTCGGCTAAAGTGACCGGCATTCAGCTGTCTTAGGGTGGGGAAATGTGGCAGGCTCTTTCGGGCACGTCAGTGAAATTTCCAGTTCCATAAAGGGCGAGCTGAGCCACTCTTAGATTCCGAGGGGTTCTACTCAGTAGACTCAATTAGACCATAATCCGGCGCAGATAAATTACAGAGACGAAGATAAACCACCGAAACAAAACACACGGCATTTCCTCTGCCTGTTTCTTTTAAAGGGCAAGTGGCATAATTGCAGACAGCTAAATTTCCTTGTTATACCACTTTGGTGAGAAGAGAAATCCTCACCAGCGACATAGAATTTTCTAAGTAGATATTTTAGGGGGTTATTTGTTTTCGCCTTATATAATAATTATCCACAGTTAATTTATTGTATCTCCTGTCTGAGGTAGTTGATTGTTAGGGGGAGGCCTTCTGGATATTAGCTTGATGTTATTAGCCTGACGCTGCACGGCCACACAGGATACCCTTCGCCATATGGCAGATAGGTGGATTATTTCCCTACCCTCAGGTCTGGGATATGTGAAAGTATCTTTGCTATAGTGATGGAACTGGCCTGGAATAGTGACTTCAGTTCCAGGAAATCTCTAGTACAAATAAAAGAGAAATTTTATCAGTAGAAAATTATACACGTATTAATAAATCTCCACTCAAACTAGTATTAACGACTTGAAAGAAACTCCATGATAAAGGTAAAAATAAATGTAAATTTATCCATACAAGGGACCGTGGAGGCCCACAAGTTTATGAGACGTCGAGGCTCCCACATTTTATAGACAATCGGCTCACATATGGCGGTGAGGATTTTAGCCTTGACGCAGGCCGCTTTTTACCTCCAGGAAGATTCCTGGTACTAATTTCTGTTAGAGGCTGAGTCGACCTCAGGGCCATAGTGCGGCTGGAAGGATTAGGCCAAATGAAAAAGCCGATGGCCTCACCGGGAATCGAGCCCGCGCCCTTCCCGCTTATAGCATAGTGAATCAGCCGACAACGTTACAGCGCGCCCCCAAAGAAACTCCATATTGGTGTATCTGGGATATAACGCTGTGTAGTCACTTGAAAGTCAACCGACGTTTCGGAAGAACATCAGCTCCATATTCAGGGTCAAAGAATAAGCGACACAAGAAACCAGCTTGGGGCAAGCGTGTGTTCGTGTAGGACAGTGGAGGGAAACGCAAGAAAACCGGACATTAAATAATGTGTAATGAAAATATTTGAATGCGTTAATCTGGAACATTTCGTAATTTCAAACAGTAAATCGTAAATATGGTTAACATAAATACTTTCCCTCTCAACCTTGTCTCTTAGCAAATATTCTGGACATCAATAGCTCCAAACGCAACCGTATCGTGAATATCAGACGTGAGAGGGGAGATTTCTGAGAAGAGAATGGAATGTTTCCATAGCGACTGTTCTCCCGAATAATAGGATTGACGTACACGCCAACTGCCTTCACGGATCACCAGATCTAGCAGAATAATTTAGAAGCCGTTCTGCGTCAGGGACAGAATTGCGAGAAAAGGACCCGTTGAGGACCAGTGCCGTTATTTCAGTGGTAATATCAATTGTGTATAGGTTAATTGTGTTGTTACTCTAGCAAAGTATATCTAGGTCTCTAGAAACTCTAGTTGGTTGTTAGTTCGAAGAAGTTCAGCGGAATAATATGGATTTATCTTACGTAAACTTTATGAGAAATCATATGAAATCTGAAAGTGTGGGGTTCAGCAACAAGTCGTCCTGGGATCGAACTTCTTCATACCGGTTTATGCAAACTTTCTTTTATTGCTAGTGGGGTGGGACTAAGTCCCTTGTACTGCGGCCACTTCTGGCCTATTGTACCAGCCCCAGATGATACGTGAGGGTGACTGTGGAGCAATTGGTGGAATGAAGATTGGCAGGGGAAACTGAAGTACTAGGAGAAAACCTGCCCCAGCGCCACTTTGTCCACCACAAATCCCAGTTCACCAGACACGAGATCGAACCCGGGCCGCCGCGATGGGAAGCCAGCGACTAACCGCTTGAGCTATGGCGCGGCCTTTATGCAAATTTTAATACAACCGTTATGTCTCATGCTTACAGAAAGTCAGAACGGCATATGAAGGGTGAGATTATACACTAATGCTGCGTTATGCAGATAGAATAATTTGTGTTCAATGCACGCCCTACCTGACGACATTACAAGTCAGGAGCAAGAGGTTTATGATGTGATTAATGAGAAATTTCTAGCCGAATTTTCCTTATGGTTACATAAAGTGGTGGTATAATTAGATACCTGTGTATATGTGTCTTCTTCCTTTAACCTACCAAAACTAGTAACGGATTTTAAGTTGTTTTGAAAATGATGGTATATGTGACGCTGCGATATTTACTATTTGTAGTTACTACCGAAATTATTTATATTTTCTGAAGCGATTATTTCATCTTCTTTCAGGTTTCAGTTTCCAGCGTTAACAAAGCAGCCATGAGCACATCGCCCCAGAAGCTTAGGTATGTCCTTTCCATACTGTTCTTACAGTTTTTTTTTGTTCTGTTCCAATATGAAGGGGAGATAATTACGACGAATTTCTTTATTAACACGTCACAATTAAAGATAAAATTGTTTAGTACTTTCTTACATTTCAAAGTATCCATAAAGATATAAAATCGCCCCTAGTTATTTCTATACCACTTAAAACGTATGGTAGTTCAGCTGCTCTCTTGAAACACAATTTGTATCTAAATAATATTTAACAATTCAGTTTCTACCTCACAGTAAATAACTACACCTTAATTTTAAAATACTCCGCTGGTTACTGGGGGTTTCTTATACGTACTTGGGGTATATGAGACAGGCTGCCGGTACTTGGGCCTTAAGTGGCCCATTGTACCAGCCCCAGATGGCACTCGAGAGAAATGTAGCATTTGATGGGATGAGAAGTGGCAAAAAAGACCGAAATACTTGGAGAAATCTTGCACCAGAAATCCCAACTGAAGTACAGTACATGCATAGGCATGAACTAGGCACACAGTCGCTGTTTATTCTAAGGAACGTAGAATGCTAACTTGTGTTCGATGTATTTTTGATGGAGGTGGACACAAGGTGGCCCTCGAGGCTGGTATGGACCGATATCTGCAAACCAAGGGTTTCGCGGTTTCAGATTAATAGACAGTAGCTAATTGATGTTTGCCTCTAATTTTTATAAGATTCTGATAGATATCAATTGACAGGCTGTTCGAGATTATTGACTTTGAAGCGATGTCCGCCGTTCGGACTATTAAATCAACGACATTTTCAATGTGTTGCGCTTCTCTTAATAATCTCTGGACTTACAAATTAAAGGTTCCCTCCCTAAGGATATCAGTGTTATATGTTTCAAAACATGTAGGATTAATGTGAACATACTTTATCTATGATGAAATTAAATTAAGTACAGGCTATGCGACGAGCTGATCACTCGTCCAAAGAGTCCTACTGTCTGTAAAATGATAATGAAACTGAAAATCAGAGACCAGAGACCAAGGGGGCTATAGAGCCAGCGAAAAAAAAAACGAATATAATGTTGCAAGTGCAATTACCGATGACCACAAGCAATTCTGATACTGCAACAACGAAGAAAACGCCAGTCTCCAGTAACCAGAAGAATTATTAAAGGTGTGAAAAACTTCTACATTACTAGAAATTTCGAATAAAAGTAAGTAAAGTAAAGGTATCCCTGTAATAGGCCTTGGAGGCCCATAAGGTTGTGAGATGTTGAGGTTCCCACATGTTCTAGACAATCGGCTCATAGGTTGTCAGCCTTACGCTTCGGCCTACCTTTAGCCCCAGGAATATTCCTGGTACTCATTTCTGTTAGAGACTGAGTCGAACCCAGGGCCATAGTGCGGCCGGATGGATTAGGTCAATTGAAAAACCCCAATGACCTCATCAGGATTTGAACCCGCGACCTTCCGGCTTGTAGCATAGTGCCTCAACCAACTACAGTGATATATTTTAAGAGGTTTGTGTAAGGGTTCACTGAACTCAGCTTTTACTAGAAATTTCAGCTAATGTTCGGTTTGATTAGGAAATTTATCCACGTGTGTATAGAACTATGTGTTTGATGGAAATTTCAAAGAATCCTGGATGTTTGTAGGATACGTGTTCACAGACATAGAGAAATTTGCTGTTACTGGAAATTTCAACTGATCCACCATAACTTTAAGATGTTTATGCACAGGGTTACACTGCTCCTGAAGTGCAAAGATTTAACGATCTTTAGGATATTTATATAAGGGTCTACAGAGATATTTAATTTGAGGAAATTTAAACTAATAAGTTTTGTCATTAGGAGGTTTAATTAAGGGTTTACAAAACTCTTCAATTACCAGAAATTTAAATTGATGTATAACATGTTTTGGAGATTTGTTTTCGAATAAATAGACAAGAATATTTTCTGAAAAATTCAAGGATATTCGGTGTGTTCAATAGAAGAATCTAAAAGTGAAGATAATGTTGAAATTTCTAACAATACCAAACTGTGTTCTATATATTTAGGAGATATTTTGGGCACTGGGTAATGGACACAGCAAAGTCTGTAAAGACAAGCTGATATTGGGCAGCTTTAGGAGATTTATTTGAGGTCTATTTAATATACGGGAGGCCCGGAAGTTTTCCAGGAACCCGGCTGAACGTCAAGACCCCTGAAATTCTTGCCATTTTTCGTGTTTTTAGACATGATCTTTGGCCTTCTGAGGCATCTTATTACTCTTCATTTATAATAAGAATCTAATAAATATTCTGTAGTTTTATTTCAAACGAAATGTACTCGTATCTAACAGGCCTTGTTTTATGTTTAACTGCGCAATGTTCACCCAGTATTGCATTCCGTTGGGACCAACCGTACGTACTCAGGTCCGTGTACAAGCCTAAAGAAACGTAATAATCGTTGGTTCATTTGCACAATCTAGCAGGCATAGGGGTCAGCTAAAGCTGGTCTCTAGAAGGAAAAGCAATGCGGAAATTTTCAAGCTGCAGAAATGTTATTTTTCTAGCTGTGATACTTTATAAATAAATGTCTAGAATTTTTTTATATATTTTTGGTCGGGTGTTTTAAGCACTGAAATGCAAAATAGAGGGATAACTTACGAATATTGCCGCTATCAGTCGAAAATTTTAGCGGGGTACATGATATTTTGCCTTCTGCTATTCAAATACACCAAAAGATGAACTAGTATATAATTCTACAGCTGAAGGCATCGACAAAATTTCATAATCTTCCTGATTTCCCTGAGTAAAGGTAAAGTTATCTCTGTGCTTAACTAATTAAGCACTACGCCATAAAGGCGTGTGGGGGAGTGGATGTATAGACCAAAGTTTTCTTTACCTCGGCACTAGTCTGAGGTGAGTGGTCAGGTTCACGCCTAGGCCGCTTTACCTCCGGTGGAAGAACCCCGGTACCCAATGAATAAGGGTAACATGGACCCTAGAGTCGGTCTGGTTAAGATCGGTAAGTGAAAATTCTTGACTCTACCTGGACTCGAACTCCGAACCCTCCGTCGTCCAGATCGTAACTAGTCGCTATACCCTGAGTATAAAACTGAAATAAATTACTAGACTGTTTGTTTTTAAATTACTACTTCACGGTCCGGGCTGCAACATTCCTGGCCGGAGGATACCAGCTGGATTGCAGTTGGTCGCTCGTGGGAGAATTGAGTCCTGTAGGTCCCTCTAGCCCGGAACTCGACAGGATATCGTTATGCGGAGTCGCCTCTAGCTACGTTGCGTCGCTGTGGAATCTGTAATAAAGTGTAAGTCACACTATCTGGTGCTGTCATCATCTCCTCCGGCCACAGTCTGCGGCCCAGTTTTAGGACCAGAAGTTGCCATCGTTACTTCAGCTACAAGAGAGATTTATAGGAAACTGACTAGACACTGAGGACATTATAACCGCAGATCGATTTTTCTCTGCTTAAACAAAATCGAAAAGCATTTTCTGGCTGCAGGTAGAAGCCCCGTGTCAGATATTCGGACTTATTTTCAGATAGAACGAGATTCATGAAGGGAGACCCAAAAATTAAAGCGAATTTAATCCGTTTATGGAAAACAGGAATAGTGAGATTCATTGAGGAATTTTTACGTACTTGAATACTTCAAGTGAATTCTATCGGTTTGTATGAAAGTGTATATATAGTATCCTTTTTCCCTTTATTGAAAGGAATTCTGTCACCATTTTCGACGAGCTGAAGGGAACTTGGCCATCAATTCACCGGCTGTTGTATAGCTATATAAACACATTGCGAGTTATGTTGATGACAGGACGTAACGGGAGTGAAATTCGTCTCAAATATCTCAAACACCTGGGACGGTATTCAGATTCATTCGTATCGCACTCTTCACAAACCATTTCAGAGGGAATAGAAATGCATGACTATTCAACTTCATATGACTAGCGATGTGTAATATCCTTAACAATCGGTTTAGAATATTCAAAAATTTAATAACAGGCCGAAATTTTTATTCGTTTTTGAAATATTTTAGCATGAAACTTTACAGGCACGTATGTTGGTGTCGACAACATCTTGATCTTGTTTAGAATCAATATTTATTGACCATTAATAAAATATGATACATAATTATTTTAACCCTCAAGAGTGCAAAATTAAGTTAGCTCTAGCTAAAAATGAAGAACATTTCCACGTAGACAAACTACACGAAACAGTGTTGAGGTAAGTAGTTACTATAGGATTCTGACGATGGTATGTAACACAGAGATATTGGGTTTTCGGAATTTATCCATCGTCCTGGTTTTTAAGATAACTAAGAAAAACACGACTGGACACGGACTGGATTGAGGCTAGCTCTTTCTAGGGGACCCAACAGAATAGGCGTTTTCCCTCAACTGAGGACGGAAACAGATCCAGTTTCCGGAACGTCGTGTTTTTCTTAGTTATCTTAAAAACCAGGACGATGGATAAAGTTCGAAAACCCAATATCTCTCAGTGTTGAGGTAATTAAATACTGGGTCAGTTTGGAATTCTAATTCATAAAATAATGTTACCAGAAATAAATGAATAATTTAAATCATTATTACCATACCCATCAGAAACACTCTACATTAATTCATGCGTGTTCTTGAAGTCTTTTCCATACAGGTAACAAAGCTCGATATTCATTTGGCAATGAATTCCAAGAGAGAAATTATCTTTCCACTGAATTACTGGAATAATACGCTATAATAATCCAATATTACCGGGAAGTCGGTGGTCTTACATTAATTGCATTGCAGTAAATGGGCGACAAATGCTTTTGTAAATGTAAATGCAACAAGTTTAAAAGAAAACACAACCATGCCACAAATATGCTTTGTCAGTGTTGTCTTCCATCCACCCTTAGGCTTGGGCCACACAAGCACACAAAATGCGTCCGTTGTAACGAACGTTGTGACGTCTGTCGTAGTAATAAACAAGAGAGGCCAATGCTACGCTTTCTTCTGGCTCAATTGCAGACAAAAAAAAAACTGCGCACCGCA